GGGAATTAGTACCCTTGCACGGTGCAAAGTCTTTGCGCCGTCGGCTCTGGGAATATATTACCATAGGTATAGTTTAGATACAGTAAGGAATTACAATGTAAGTTATATAAATCATCTATGGTTTTTGCTTATGTTCTATTGGTTATGTTTTAGTTAGGACTTTGGTGGTGCAGTTGCCAGAGCAAGCGCCTTTCATCACTAAGATTGCTGGTTAGTTCTTGCTATGAATTTATGCACCAAGTCATATGAAAAGAGTCGGTCAAATCTCTGCCAAAAGTTGTGGGTTTTCTCCAGATGATCTGGTTTCCTCCCACAGAGAAATATACAGGGTGTATCAAAATAAACGCAATCCATCTTTTGTGCTTAATAACTTTCGAAATACTATTTCTAGTTAAACGCTTTTAGGCTTACTTCAAAGCCTGTTCTTCTCTCTTTCAAACAAACTATTATCCTTGTCTCCAATGCTAGTAATAATTGCACAGGAAAAGATTTAGTAAAACCTATCATTTTTAGTTGCTGTTTAATTATGCAAGTTTACTATGTTATTGTTTAGTGGGTTTAAATGTTAGAATTTTCTTCTTTAAACTTTAATGTTGCCGTCACTACATCTGGAAAACCACGTAAGAACAAATTAAAAGTATTTTAAAAGAGACCAGGTTGTTTGAAAATCCTAAACGAATGCTAAAAATCGTCAAAACATTCTGGTGTCTGAGCCAGAGTGTCATCGAATTGCGATGTAATGTAAACAGAAATTATAGCAAGTTGATGTCAGTCAACTTATATGGTCCAAGCCAAAATAATATCGCATTTGAAGTTTCAAACTGAGTTAAAAATAGTGGAAGAAAAGCCGTAATTATACTTATTCTTACAATCCATTTAATAAAATGCAACATTTTCTTGTTTTAATGAAAAAATCAGTTATTTTCATGAGAACGATTTGTTATTCCATCTCAATTTTTTTAATCTCCAATCGCAATAACGTAAAGTATTATTACCCGCGAACTAATGAGTCAAATTTAAGAAACA